GATCGTAATTCGACCATCTGATAATAATGCGATCGCAATCGAAAAAAACAGTAGCATCAAAATGTGTATTCTTGCTGAAGTCATCAAGGCTTAATGTTTCCATCAGCAGATAAGAAAATAAACACCAGAAAACATTCAGAATAACTTTTTTTATTTAATTGTTCTTAAATATCCACATCTCTTTGCATTTCTATAAGATTTGTTCGATTTTTAAAACTTATTGAACTACTTTCATGTCTGCATAGAAAGTAGGTTTTCAATCCGACTTTTCACCAATATAGAAGATATTCTGACTGGCTTTTTAAAAAGTGGGAAAAGTGATAGTTCATCTTTCGATGCTGAATGGATGTAGACTTGGCGTAGATTGCGGAGTGAGGGTGAAAGGGATTCTAAGTCAATGTACTTTAAGCTAGAATTGAAAATAAACAACTCTTTGTGACCGATCATCGGAGGTAGAGCCACATACTCTTCCAAATTCCCATACAACTTTTCAAGGCCGTTCAATGTGCCAATTTGCTTGATATCATTTCGATATTGATAAGCTATAGCTCCCGGTTCCACAAATAGATCAAATATCAAATGTTTGATGTATCCAAACTCCAATCGCTTATAGAAACCATTGCCATGAAGCTTATTTAATATAGCGCAAACAGCATTCAGATTGGAATTGATGAATGTGTCGCTGTTTTTCAAAATAGTTCGATCATCGGTTTCGAAACTTTGAATGTGTGCAGTTTTTTGGAAAAACATTCCAAGATTGTGGCTAATAGCTTGACTCGGGTATATGAGCCGCAAATGCTCAAGCTTTGGATATTTATGATACATCCATTCATTTTCAGTTGATTGATCGGCTTCAATGCAAAGACTCTTCAAATCACGGCATAATTTAGCGGGCAGTTCAGGCTCAAACGGGCAATTCTGAAATTAAAACGGGCAGCTCTGAATCGCGATTTGGGCAGTTCCAAAATCGAAGAAAATGAAGAAAGAATATAAAGAAAAACAAAGAAAATTTGAACTACACGCTGAAAACAGTCATGATTTTAGAGCTACCAAACTGTACACATACAGACAATAGGTTTCACGCGCTATCGAATGTGTGAATTCTCATTGATTGATTTTTGGTATAACTTTACTTATCATTACCGTACACATAGTGTAAAGGGAAAGTATAGGAACATGCCCCGAATTTTTTTTCTCGCAAAATTGCCTTAGATCATCATAAAAACTCATGAAACGCGTAGAAAACACATTTTTGAGACACTTTTCCGTTCGTGTGCCGTTGTCGTTGGCGTAACTCAAAAATCGAATGAGATAATCCAAAATTTGGAATTTCCAGAAGTTTTGTATCCGAAAAACTTAGTTCAAGTTCGAAATTGAGCCATTTTTGATTTGACCCTGGGGTACTTCCTTTAAGAAAAACCTCCAAAAATGACAATTTTGCATGGGAGATACCCGCAAATCAATTCCTAGTGGCTTCAAACTTTCTAAGGTTTCATTTTTTGGCAAAAAAAAGATTCTGAAAGTGTTATGTTGATCGCGTATGCGCGAGTTTAGTTTTTAGGTCTCAACTTTTCATAGCTGC